TGTACATTAACGTAATCACAGGGTACAATGTGCTGGTTTTTTATACACAATCTGAAATGTTTCCATCAAACTGGTTAACACAGCCTTCACAGCATTTTCTTAGTTATTGTGTTAAAGACATTTATACTCCACACCTAGTAAATTTCACATGTACTCTTGTAAGATTTTAATGGCAGCATGCTTCTAAAAGTTGAAACATGGAAGTGCTCAGTTTAAATCAGAGCCAGATAAGGTGTTAGGCCATGAATCATTAACTACAAAAAGTAGAAAAATGAATAAAATACTCTAAAGCATCACAAATTACTTTAGATTCGTTACCAGTAAAAAGTCAGTTTACATATGCTATTTATAAAATAAATCAGTTTATCTATAACCCATACACCTAAGAGCACTATGATTTTACAAATTTTACCACTCCTAAATAATGGTTATTCTTCCCAAGGTCAAAAATCAACAATAAAAAACAAACTTAAATACCACCAAAACAACACTTTACAAACATGTTAAATTTTATTGTGTGTGGCTGATATAATATTCAAATCAGTTACAACAAAGATCAAAGCATTGTTAAACCTTAGACTTCTGCACTGAATTCAGAGAAAAATTTCTTCTGTACACTTTCTTTTCCCACTGCAAACTTTGTTACTACCTTAAATGTATTAAGAATCTGGTATTTTTTAAATGTAGAAACAGACTTTCATTTAAGGAAATGTGACTCTCACAGGTGACTTTCATAACTTTCCAAATGGGATTCTATTCCCATTAAAATGGGATTCTACCCATCTAAAGTGAGATTTATTTTCAGTACCTCAGAAGCTTTATACTAATTCAATCAAAATTATGAAAAATGGAATCTATTTGGAATATCGTGAAATCATTAAAGACATCAACTCAATAATAAATGGACAGAAATATAACTATACCAAAAAACTGGTCCTCCTTCGGGGTAATTAAAGCAATAAAAACTCAGATTACTACATTTTCCTATTTTTTAAATTGATACTTTTAAATAATTAAAAACTATTTTACCTCTCATTTTTATAATTCAAGCAAATACCAACATATAGTTAGTATGTAAACAGCCGCAAGCTATTCCATTTAAGCACTCTTCATTCATTTGTTCTCCAAAAGAGTTTATGAGTACTTTGCACTTACAAGTTTATGAGTACCACGCACTTGGCTTCTCAAAGAGCTCAAGGTACTAAATCTACATCATGTTATGAAATCCCACCAACAAAGGGAGGCAGCAATAATTCCCTCATTGCTGGAGAAACATAAATCCCGAAACTTACGAATTTGTGAGAGATCTCAGACTAAGAGACCTGACTCCAAAATGTAAAATATTTATAAATAATAATGTTAATTTAAACTAGTATCAACTATATTGCAACATATGTATGTATATAATATATAAAAATAATTTAAATGAAGGGTTAAAAAAAAAGACTACCTCTGCCAAATGCTGTGTTTGGAACATCAAGTGCATAAGGATCTTTTTCTAAAAGTTCAAATTTAAACTCTGTTTCAGTTAATCTGCAAATAAAAAACAAACATCGCTAAGTTACCAATCCAAG